GCCTGTATTAACATTTCGATGACTGCCTTCAGATCATGGCGGTCTCGGTCTTGTGCCCTTGATGGCGATGAAAGCGACAATATGGTTCGTTAGGGCTGATGGCGTATACTTCGAGGGGCGCACGGGAGTCTCGCTCCATAAGGCCTCTTTCCTCTGCATAGTCCAAAATAACGCTGACGGGATGCGTCAGAGGGCTGTGTGGGTGCTCCAGGAGGGTAGGTTGGGCCCACGCCCTCGGATTGTTCTTGTAACCACCCCCGGGTATGGCTTGGCCATTCCGGGGTTGGTCGTTGTACTGTACCTCGCGGTCTGCCGGAGGGGGTGGGCCCCGGGGGCGATTCCTGTCTTCGTGCTTTTGTGAAGGTTCTGGGTTACGGCGATCTTTCTCGATCTCCTCGGCCTCGGCATATCGGTCCCCCCGCTGGAGGGCCTTCGTATAATCGCGGGGGATCAGTAATAAGGCTCTTGGAGAATTTACCGTTGCGGAGGACGGTGTGGAATAGAGCCATCAGCGTCCTATCGTCGGTGCCATCGACTTCGATGGAGGCCTGTCTCCAACGTTCTAGGAAACTCCGAAGGGTTTCCTCCTTCTTGTACCTTACGTTCAGAAGGTGGGAGAAATGTTTCTTTGACAGGTGCCTCCCGGTGAATTATGTCAAGAAACGGTGGGCAAGTTCTTGCCATGAATCAATGCTGCCTTCGGGTAACCGGTTGAACCATTCATACGCTGGTCCCTCCAAGGTGGAAAGGAACCAACTGCATAAATATTCATCTGATGCCCCCATCATCATCATGCTATTTTGATACCCGTTATAGTGTTCTTGGGGATCCGTCTTCCCCTCATAGGGTTATAGGTTGCCCCCGGTACTTGTCGGGGATCTGTGCCGCCAACACTCTTGGGGTGAAGGGGGTCTTCGTGCGGAGCTGGATGAGGGGTTCACCTGAACCTTCGGTAAACTTTCACTTCATTTCATCCATCTGTGCTAATATGGCGGCGTATTTTGGATCCGCTTCCAAAGTCGAAGTGGGGGCGCTTGGTGTGCCTCCTTCTCCTCCAGCTGCCGTCGGAGGGCCTCGATGATCTCATTGTTGTGATCCCTCGGGGAAGCCCCTTGGGATTTCTCCCTGAATGATTGGGTGTGGTTGATCAGGTGCCTGGCGTCGTCTGCGTGGAGGAGGCCTTTGCCTTTATCCCGAGGGGGAGTTCTCTCCGCGGCCTCCAAGACGGAGCCCTCCACTCTCATGTGGCCTACTGGTCGCCTTCCCGCCAAGGCGGTCTTGGACCCCTCGGCGTTCAGGAACTCCCCCAAGCCTTTCAAGAGCGGAGGTCCGGGGTTTCTCCTTATTCACACATCGCTTGTCTCGCAACTGGACCTCTTGGGAGGCGGTGTCCTGTGCCACCACGCCCTCGGCATTGCCAACCCGGATGATGGGATTATTGAATGGAGGGGGCGGTGAAAATGGATAAAGTTTCCTCCATACTGGGGTTGGAGGGGTGCTTGTGTAACGAAGGCACCGGAGTTCAGTGCCATATTCTGGACGAATGCCGCGAAAGCGGCCTGAAGGTTGATGGTCGGAGCCGGAGGGGGAACTTGGTTCTCACTCTGATCCTTCCTTTGGTTATCAAGGCCAATGCAGGCATCGGGGCAGCCTTCTGGATTTGCTGACGGAGGTCAACAGCGGCTTGCTCCATTTCGGCAATAGTGCCGCCCTCAGGAATCCGATTGGAGGCCTCAGCCTCGTTGGTTTCGCCGATGGCTACGTGGTTCTCCTCAAGGGTTCTAGATTGACCACGAGTTCTTCCCATTTTGGTAGGTGCTTTTGTGTTTGGTGAAGGGGAGAGTTTCTTACTTGATTGTTCGAACCTCTCAACGAGAGCACCAAATGATGGACAGTGTACCCGGGGTAGCTTATCTGAAGGGTTATTGTGGAGAATAACTAGAGAGAAGTGAGAGCAAACAAGTAAGAGAGAGAGTCAAATGTATTAAATGAACTCATCGTGCTTTACAAGGTGAATAGGGGCTGCTATTTATAGCAGTCATAAATGCGATGAGAGTACATGTGTCAATAATCTAACGGTCGAGGGTCACTCAATCGGGGTGGCACCGGCATATGCATGTGTACCGCATTAAATGTGGTGGATGGATGTGACGCCGTATTAAATGCGGTGGTCGCCTATCCCCAAAGGGAATCTTCGATGATTACTCTGTATAGCCGAAGGCTCGGTGTAGCCGAAGGCTATCCTCATGCCGAGGGCGCCTATGAGCCGAAGGGTCCTGAATTCTGTCATTTTCTCCCAGTAGCTTTGTATGCTCAAATCCGGCTGCCCCGTGAGTTTTGGAGCGTTCGGCCATGGGGCCGAAGGCACCCGTATGTGCACCGTGGGCTTCTTGACACTTGGGCCGCTGTGCTTTGGGCCTCTTGTGCTTCCTGGGCCTGTTGGGCCTGTGTTAGAGTAGTAGGAGTCTGTGGGTCGGGGGTTCCCGGACCATATACTCCATCACGTTGGATTCCAAATTCAGCCGTTGGATCCATTTTGTTCGCGTTCATACAATGTTAAAATCATCTTAACCGTTGGATCTTCCTAAAAGTTTTTAAAACATTACTTATTAAAATTTTAATGACTAATATTCTATATTAATAACACCAAATTTTTGGCTCATTTGGATTGTAAATTACTCATAAGTTGAGACCGATAGCTCACCAGAATACAGCTAGTGGATGTAGAGATAAAGTGGGAGCTAAGATTAAAGAGAGAAAAATAACTTGTCTATTAATGATTTTCGATACATCAGCCCCAAGAGAGTATTAATACTAGTAATAAATGTTAGGTGCATTAAATGCAAATACACGCGTACACTAACTAGTTTATGAGGGAAGCCTTACTGTGTGGCAGAATATGACGCATGGCGTTGATTAACAGTCCGCTGAGTAAGAGGTGAGGTGGTCCAGGACGAGGGGTTAAGGACCCATGTCCTTGTTGATGCCCCTTTGCCTTGTCAATTAGTTCGCGACTGGCTAAGACCCTTGTGTTGGATGATGTGCTAGAGGTCGAGGGGGCTATGTGGATCGAGGTGCCGGTCCATTGAATCCACGGAGTTTGCTATTTCCGGTTGCTTACTTGCTTCGTGAACAGGGGCGGACCCAGGAAAGTCATTTTGGAGGGGCGAAAATATTTTTGGGGGGGTTCAAAATACTTTTTGGAAGAGCAAAAATCATTTTTCGTATATATATACACTAAAAAAAAATTTGTTGGGGGGGCGACCGCCCCCCTGGGTCTCTACTACGGTCCGCCCCTGTTCGTGAATATGGTCCCTCGTCCAGCTGATGAGCCTAGCTACTTTATTTGGATTGCTTGTATGTGCATGAGTATGTGAATCGTGGTTCTAGGCTCCTGTACCCGATCAAGGACATAAAATGGACTTTGAGAATTTAAGTGTATCATTTTATGTCATTCGTACTTTAAATTTCATTACCAAATTGTGATGGATATTGTGTCATAGCTAGAGCTTTATATCGGATTGAGCCAATATAAATATATTTTAGATAAATTTTACACTAAAATTTTTAATTATGAAAATTATGCAAAATGTTATTTGAACACATTTCATGTACACCATAAATACTTGTATTTTTACTATTCCACTTTTAAATTTTACCCCTTTCTCTCCCTACTCTTTCCCTCTAGGCTCTATGTTCCCTCTATCTTCTCTTTTCCACTTAAGATGTTTTTACTTGCACTATTTTCAGTCCAGACCAGACAAGATCAAATCAAACTTGGATAATTATAAGATACATAAAGACCAAACACTCATCAAGCCAGACCAGCAAATTTCAATTCAAGTAAAAACATCCTTACGGTTTACTCTCCTTACTCTTTCTCCATCTTCTCTTTTTTACTTACCATTCTTTCCTCTATCTTCTCCTTTTCACTTACCATTCTCTCTCCGCACTCACTCTTCTTCTCTCTTCTATCTTCATCACCTTCAATTGTCACCATCTTACATCATTGCCATCACCATCTTCATATCTTTAATCTTTATCATCTTTCATCTTCACCATCTTTATCATTTTATATCTTCACCCCTTCGTCTTCCATTTTTCAGATTTGCCGAAGGCTCGAAGACGGTCGCTAGAAAACAAAATCGGAGATAAACAATTGTTGAAATTATTGTCTGTGTACAGATATTTTATATATACTAAAGATTTTCAAAATCTTATTCATGGCAAGACTAGAAAAATACGACGAAGCAGAACGCCTGAAAGGGCTACTAGAAGTACTCCCTAAACACCCTCATCAGGACGAAGTGCAACCCAAATAAGGAACATAAGATCCAGCAAATCTGGTCGAGGTCGGTATATGCATGGAGTCAGGTACTCAGGTCAGTCTAGGTCGGTCCCGGGCCAGGGCCCAACCAGTCCCAGTTCTAAAAAATTGAAGTTAGACACTGGTATTGATCCGGGTCCAAACAATACCGGTTCCGGATCAGGCCCAGGTCGATACCCACCCACATTTAATAAAAATAAATAAAAACTAGCCGTTTGGCTCGAACCGGCCCCAACCAGACCGGTCCCAAAAATGCATGCCCAAAGCTGACCCTTTTCTACCACGGTCCGGGTACCGGGCCGGTATCCGAAAACCGGTCCCAGGCTAGTACGAACAGTACCGGTCCAGGGAAGGGCCACCTGGACCCAGTCCATCCCTAGGTCAGTAGGAATCTCAAAATCAGACTCAATAGCGTAGACCAAATCACAAGTATACTGGTTCCCGTAACAGACACATTGGTCAACATTTGATCTCCCAATTTTCAACTTCCTTTTCGTGGCACACGACTATGAATTTCCTGTATAGTTGATTTCTCACCAGACAAATGATAAAGGGCCCAATAATGACAAATTGACAATATAAGTGTGCCAAAAGTGGGAAGCAATAACAAGTTGAAGAACAAATCTATAATCATTGGATCAAAGTGAAATATTTTCTTAACTTATAGATGAGTTACTAGTTGAAATGTAATTGATTTATCAAATAAAATTTGGTCTGCAAGTTTATTAAATTATAGGCAATTTTCTTTAAATAATACGGAGTATTTATACATCTCAAAGTGTAGGGGCTATATTTGTACATACAACAGAAACATAACCGTGGGGACCTAATCCTTACACAGCATTGTACAATTACTACAATCTACTCACAAAAGGAAGAGTTCATTCCTTCACTCGTGCCTCTTTGTTATAGTGAAGAGCATAGCCAGACCAGAAACGACAACGACAGCACCGTATAAAAAGAGGTTTCTCAGCATCTGCAGCTTTATTGAGAATGTATTGCATACATATGCCCACAACCATCTCAGTATAAAATGCAATCCACAAGTCTTCCTAAACTTATGAATTGAGAAGTGCTGCAAAACCGAAAATACAGAATACTGTAGATTAAGACATTCTAATGAAAATTTACTTGGAAAAGTGAACTATTCCTGATGGCATTACAGTTCAGCGGCAAAACTTTCATGTAGGATTTGCAAAGTTGTATGGGATATATAATAGAAGCAGTGCAACCTACAACACTGGCCTGGTGCCATGTCTTTAGAGAGTACCTATGCTTATGTTCCCTTACATTCTAGCCACTTCGCTGGCGAATTCAGCACAGCTGAGATTGAACTTATCAAACAAGAATCCTTCATTATCGGTAGTTTAAGTATGGAATTCTTTAACTAATACAACATGCAGAAGTGATGTCATGTATATGTTCTTAGTTACAAAGTCTACTTGGAGTTAATAAAGACCTGCACAAATAAAAAATAATCACTTTATATTTACAAAGTGGTGCATTTGTAAAGACATTTTTTAAGGTATATGTTTAAGATAGTGAGATTGACATGTAGAAAACTGACAGTTTGAGAACAGTCACTAATGCATTTTAGTACAGGACCTATAAAATATATAAATGGTAGAAAAATGATTAGTTTCTCACTTTCTCCTAACATATACCATATAGATTCTCTGTTGAAGTGTGCTCAAGATGACTTTGGCTAGTTTTATTGAGGCTGATCCCCCCCCCCCTCATCATGTCCGGGGGGTCAATCCCCACCCATAGAAATATTGGAGTCATGCAGTCCTATTATTAGTAGGTAATTTATTCCCCGTTAATCAGGGTCTCCGGATATTTAGCATTGAGCATAAAAAGAAATATCTTGGTTAAGTTCCAATGAAAATGCATTTCAACTTGCATCCATTTATTTAACCAGTTTCTAAAGAGCAAAGTGCAAAATAGTTTCTATGTCAACAATATTAAAGAGCATTATGATTTCCCTCCTGTTGTTTTTTACCTTATCTTTGAAATACTTGTGATTTCCGGTATGATGAAATAATCTAGTTGGCAATAGTATTAAATCAGATTTGCTATGATGAGAAATATGAAATGCCAAAGGTACTCATTGTGAACAGTGCATGTTTCACATTTGTCTTGTGATTCTCCCTAGGTGAATAGTTTAAGAGATCATATGTTTCTAAATATATATTTTTGGACTCTTTCTCCTGTGGAAGAGAAGAAAAATCACCCTATTCTTTACATGGTATCAGAGCCCCTAGGGCAGTGTTTTGGATCAAAAAATTTAAAGCTTTCTTCTGCTTTCCCAAAAAGTGTGCGCAACCCTCAACGGTTTGGGTTTTCAGTTAGCATGGTTTCTCATTTACTAACCAACCAGGGTGGAGCACTGGTTTGCAAAACGAATTATGTGAAGGTAACTCATTAAACACTGCACACCCAATTACAATGGTGAGCCAATATCTGACATTTCCAACCTTGATGATTGGTGTGCTTTGGAATGTTATCTTGTTTTATTTAAAGAGAGCTCCTTGGGTATAATGCATTTAATGCTTCACAGATGCTGATTGGACAGGATTAGGCATGGCACGATCCCAGTCTGGGCCATCTTCCACCTTTCTGATCCCGAACGGGCCACTCCTAATAAATAGTGAGCCCCGGAACCGGAACGTATATTTCCAGTCTCAGACCTGTTCACTCGCCGGTCCCAGTTCAATTTTGGGATCAGGACCTTGTCCACCCTGAGGCAGGATGCAAAGAAATTGGAAGATCTACAACAAGATATCGTGTGTTTGTTGGTAAGGATTTAGTATCATAGAAGAGTAAGAATCAAGATATTGCGCCAAGAACAGAACTAAACAATAAATCCATGGCACAATCTGCAACAACATCTAGGCCTTAGTCTCAAAAGAGTTCGGGGTCGGGTAACATGAATCGACACATGACCGGAGCTATGATATGATAAAGATAAAAAAAACATAAGATAAAAAATAAAAGAGATAAGAAAGATATAACAACATTACCCCAATGCCACAAAGGCTCCCACCTACAGTGGGGAAAGGGGGGTCGGATGTAAGCAGCCTTATATTCTCCACATGTATATTCTCCTACTACTTCGCTCTCTCCAAAATCATACTCCCATGGCACAATCTACATTTGAAATAATTTGGATATGTCCTACTATTGAGCAAAATTGGTTTTAAAGTTTTGATTCCCACAAGGATTCCTATTTCTCATAGACGAACAAAACTCATCGAAGCCCATTAATGCATTGTGTGAGACGAAACATCAGAGAGAATTCTAAAGGGTTTTTAAAGACTGGTGAACATGTAAGAGAACTCTTTCTAAAGGCACTCCACATGGCACAGATTGATGTGTCACACATTGAGATCGATATATAAGTGCATGCTTTATATTTCACCCTTCTGCTTATCTCCAAATGACTAGTTGAAGGGTTTGTATGTTTCTATATACTTTTCCAGATCCGTTATCATGAGGGCGAAAAGAAAAGCAATTCCCTGCTCCTATGTTTTACAAGGTCCATAATTTCTAAAATGTTCAACAACAATTACGGTTCACCTGTAACAATGCTTTTAAAATAGAGAGTTTATCTCCACTTTTAAAAATCCTTGTCAAGTTAAATAGGACAAGTTTATCATACAATATGTGCATTTCGAGAAGAGATGGCAGACTTCCACCAATCGCTGATCTATGTCAAATGGTTATAATAAAACAGGAGCTAAAGGAAAGTCTATTGCTACCTCAGGCAACTTCTCGTGCTGGGCTAGATGATCCACATGAAGCCTTACATTGGATGAAGCATGAATCCAGAAACTTGGATCAACATGAACATATGTATACGCAACTATGTCAAACAGTGTTTTGGCTCCATTCTCCATTGCTTTTAAGATCATTGATTCCCTCTCTCTCCGGTTTCTGAAGAAACGTATATAATTAGGTATGTCAAACAGTAGTATATAATTAGGTAGCATCCAGGACCCATCAGCCATCAATTTAAAAGAAACCTATCACCAAAGTAATCAGGAAGATTGACTTGGCTCTCATTTTCCCAAATTATGGAACTAAACAAATGGAATTGGCTCAGGAAATTATACTTAAACCAGATAAATAAGAGTACACATAGCTTAAAATGTTTTTGTGTTGTGCAAGTATTTAACAATATATTGTGGTTTTACGCCGGGAGGCCACAAACATTTTTTGAAAATTGAAATCTGAGAAGAAATTAGTATCTACATTCTACACCAAAAGCATTCCAAATTTCATACCTGAGGTATCCACAGAGCATATGTTTAGGCCACATATTAACTCTTCCATGCATGGGAATCAAAGCATGAGGTGAAAGCTCCAGAAATTTATAAGTTGTCTGGAAGTAATCCTGTGCAGCAAAATAAAGTATCAAGAGTTTTATTCTTGAAAGCATGAAAGTTCTACATCAAGTAAGAAATTTAAAAAATAGATACATATGCAGTCATCAAGAAATTTCTAAAATAAGGATGTCAGCACTAACTTACTACAGGTCTACAGTTAATCCAGGTTTACAAAGATGCACATGTATCTCTTTGACACTCAATAATGTGTATATAAAGAACACTTACAGCCATAGATCCACCGGATTTAATATCTAAAAATGTGCTTCCTTGCCTGAAAAGAGGATATCGGGAATATCAACTTAGAAGAGATTGATAATAAAAATAAATACATAAAAAAGCAGCAGGATTAGGACCTTAGGAATGAAAGAGCAAGGACATGTTAGTTGAATGGTTAACACTTGGTTTGCAAAGTTGAAATGTAAAATCAACACAAGTAGTTGATGTGGTAGCAAGAACAGCTAATGGACCACTAATTACAAGTCGCAGTTCACATGGGACAAATACCCCACAGGGAGTGCATATGATCATATACTCCTGCGGAGTATCATGTATTCATATCAAAATGAGAAATGGTGCCAGATAGAACCTTAAGTTTCCGTATATACCTAAGTAAGATCTTGACTTTTTTTACTTCTAAATAGGACCTAATTTTAAGATGTTTCCAAAATTGCCCCTAATATCTCATCCCCTGGCAATCGGTTCCTTTCTCTTATCCTCCCTGTTCGTGACAAACAGCCACATACAACATGCTTCAGCGAAACCTTGGCCGAACAACGCACCCAGCGGCAGCGGCGGCAATCATCTGCGCTCCTCCACCTCTCAAGGTGATTGTTCCGGAAGAGTTGTGGCGGAAGCCTGTACTTCTCCATCGATTAGTATATGGAGCTCCTCGATGAGCTTCACTGTGGCGAATCAGATCCAATTGGTGACGGTGGTCACATGATTGCTCCGGCAAGTCCAGTGACTATTCATCGTATGGAAAAATTTTTGATTTTGGGGGAACTGTTGAACATCAAAGCAATGGCTACAAAATCTATGAAATAGAAAGAAGTTTCGAAGTTGCCATTGTAATGGAAGATTAGGGACTGGGCAGAGAACCAGAGGAACCGCCGGCGCTTGGAGAGAAAGATTGTCGCGATGAATTGTTTTGTAGGCAGCAAGGATACGAGCCGATGACGAAAACGACGAAGACTAGGTGTAGGGCGCCGCCAGGGAAACAAATCTCTTCTTCTTCTCCCTGCTTTTTTGTTCGCTGCACACATTGGCTATTTTTTCTAGAAGCAGACATGATGAATCGAGGATGCTGCTTTGAAATTTAGACATGATGAATCGAGGATGCTGCTTTGAAATGTCAAACCTTTTTGTATTTTATTTTATTTTTCAATTGTCATTTCTTTTTTGAGATTTATTTCTACCCCCACCTTTTCCTTCCATCCTCTCTTTTTTCTATTTCAATTTTTCATATGTCTTGGACTAATGGAGAGGGTAGTTGTTCCATTTAATGTATGCATCACTCAATTTTTGTTTTGCACCAAAACTATTTGATAAAATGCCTATGTGAAAAAAATCTCCCTGTTTTACATTTTCAGTTGAGGAAAATCATGGACAGCTTATTTAAAGTGCATGAACAAGTGAGTTGATAACGTCCAGGCTACATTGACATTGTCACGACAATGTCATTGACATTGTCACGACAATGTCATTTTCATTGTCACGACAATGTCATTTTCATTGTGTCATTTTAGTGGCATTTTTATAACATTGACATCATCACTATACGAAATTGTGACATTTTTTTGACATTGTGACGTTTTCATAAATTTTGACAATATTTGCGATATTGAGAGTATTTATTTTGTTAACGTTTAACAAAATAACATTGACATTTGTAAACTAATGACATTAATTTGTAAACAATGACATCGTATTACATTGTCATACAATGGACATTGATTTTTAAACAATGACATCGTATTACATTATCATATAATGACATTGATTTTTAAACAATGACATCGTATTATATTGTGATATAATGACATTGACTTTTAACATGTATGATATTTTAACACTGTGACATTGTTAAATTTATAACACGTGACATTGTTTATACAATTGTCACTATTTAGATTCTCATGCTGTGTTCAAGTCTTATTTGAGTCTTTTTCCCAACTATTTTCAAATTGAACATGGTCTTCAATACCTCCATAATGGGATGAGGATGAGGATGAAGCATTTACAAGCATCTATGCGTGAATTAACAAACACTGCCCACCAATATGTGCTACCTGAAGCGCTGCGGTTGCTCAGAAAAGAAAGTAAAAAAAAAACAATTAAAAGAGAAAATCGAATGAAAAAGAAGAAATCAAAAAGAAAAAAGCAATCAGCTGCCAACTTCACGCGAAGGAAAAGTAATAGACGAAAAGAAGAAGAAGAGAACAATTAGCTGTGACCACTCCGGCGATGTCCAGAGGCAGACCGGGCAGACCGGCGCTTGACACACAACATTTGAGCGTCCCAGCGACGGTTGACTGCGTTGAGGAATGCTTTAGTAAGAACATTAAATTCTAGGAGAGTTGATGGAGAGTGCGAGGCGGCGACAACGGAGGTGGTGTCACCGTAGATGGTGGCCGGCGGTTCTCTCCCAGACGGTGAGGGGCATGAGTGGGAATGAATTTTCTTTACTTTGGCTACGGACTTCGGTTGATACATCCATTTGCTTGTCGCTATGCAAATAACGGAAGCTACGGATTGCAGCAAAGGGACGGCTGCAGCCTGCAGAGATGCTTGAGGGGCAAGGTTATTTTTGTCCGTGCGTATGAAAATTAGTCCTATTTAGGTTTTAATAAGTCTTGAGTCATATTTACATTCCGCGCTCATGTTTTAGTCCTACTAGAGTCTTTTTCCCTATCAAAATCACATTTTTAAATATGAAGAAAGATCCCATTTGATATAAATTGAAGTGTCAACACTTACCCTACACAATGATCCCCCGCAATCAAAGAGTTTGAACTCACATGAAGAAGTGCCAAGTGCCCATCAGTATGCCCCTGGATAGGAAATTACTTTCAACCGAAGGATCACTTCTTGAAAAAAAAATCAAGAAACAAATACAAAAAACATACTCCTCTCTGTCCCTATTTAAACTTCCCGGTTTAAGTAGCACACATTTTAAGGAAATAATTTTTTCCATGGACTTCATGAAACCACCCTTTTACATAGGGTTAAACTTTAATGTAGAGTACATTGTTTTGACACTGTTTCGCACTATTTTATACTGTGTATTCATTATTATTTAAGAGTAGTAGAGTAAATTGATAGAAATTTGTTTACCAAATAAGAAAGGGGACTTTCTTTAGGGACATCCATAAAAGAAAAGTGGGAAGTTTTTATGGGACAGAGGGAGGATGTTGGTATTAAAGCATTTTTATACATTTCATCGAAATATCTTAAACTAGCACCATTCTACTTGCAGATGAAGCTTGATGCAACTAAACACAGAACTTACAAATAATTTAAGAGGCAGTTCAAAATTGTTCTCGTTAACAATAGACTGAAAACTTTTTATCCTATAGAATAAGAAATAATCCAAGGCTCCAAACCTAGCTGGATGAGTTTTTTTGGACCAAAATAGTCATTCAAAAAACTCTATTTACATGCTAAGACAAAGACACCCATTGAATAGATGACATTTGATGAGTATTGCCCTTGTGAAATATATTCTTGAGATGTCCATCCAATATTAACACTTGTGGATTTATTTCCTGATTTAGAGAATAACTAATTATGTACTTTAGATCTGATTTTGTATTAATTACCAGTATCATGTAATTTATTCTTTCTAGAAATAGGATATTCTATTATTTAGATTAGCAGATTGTATATTTAATGTCTTAGATTCTCTCCTCAATAGGCTGTATAAATATCCTATCATTCTGAGATTATTATAATATATCACAAATATTCAGAAATTTCACATAATATCAGAGCTCTAGCTATCCTAGGGTTTCTGTACTCCTCTTCTGATCGTGCCCATCTCTTGTCTATCATGAGTCATGACTCACGAAAACAATGGCTCCATCTCAGAGGCAACATCTAAAACACACTCATTAATTTTTTCTACCTCTTCTCAAATAAATGAAGTTGTCTCTCTCGTTACCAGCCGCAAATTCAATGGACACAAATTCTTTCAATTCGAAGCCGTTGAGGAACTTCTGAATCATCCCTCCATTCATCCAACCTCTACGCAGGATACTGGACTGTTGGCTATGAGAGGTAATAAACCAGCTGCTTGTTTTGTGAATAGAAGCACTAACAAATCATGGATTCTAGACTCCAGAGCTTCCGATCACATGACAGGAGATGCATCAATTTTTTCTCAAGTTGAGGGTTCCGGTTCAGTCACAATAACTAAGGACCTCACCCTCAAATCTGTGCTCTATGTGCCCAAATTAGACTGTTATTTACTTTCAATTAGTAAATTTACTAGTGAACATCACTGTGTGACAAAATTTTTCTCCAATCTTTGTGTATTTCAGGATTTGAACTCGGGGAAGAGGATTGGCAGTGCTAAGATGTGTTCCAGACTATAAGTTCTACGTGATGAAGTTTCATCCACCAACACAAACAAAAAGTTCAGTTTGCTTTCTTTGAATAGTCAGTCAGTTTCTTTATCTAATAAGGATAGTGCAATCATGTTATGGCACTATCGTCTTGGTCATCCAAATTTTGTGTATTTATAAAAAGTGTTTCCTTCTATTTTTTTTTAAATAAGGATTTTTTTTCATTTACCCAGTGCCGCAAAGGCTCCCACCTACGGTGGGTAAGGGGGAGTCGGATGTACGCAGTCTTACCCCTGTACTAAAGCACAGAGAGACTGTTTCCGGGTGACCCATAGTGAAAATCGCGTCCCAAATTGCATGGACTGAATGCCGCTTCATAACAAAGAAGCGCATTGATAGAGAGCAAGAAGAACCTGGGGCGGGAACGGGATTGGGCTCACTTGATGTGTAGCAGAAAAATAAAATCAACGGGGTGAACCGTTGCCCAGATAATCAACGATAAATAAATACCGTTGCCCAGAGCCAAAAGGCTAAACCAACTTTTATTCCAAGATAATCATAATGAACCCTGGCGAAGGGTATAAATAGCCTTCTACAAGAAACCCTAATAAAGCCCAAATTACTTAAACCCTAATTAAGCCCAATTTAACTTAACTAACCACTCTACTAATAATAGGCCCAACTAAAACATAACGATAAATTTTATAAATAAATAAAACTATAATCCCTAGCCCAGAACCGGCCCACGGAAGTGAGCCCAATCCCGTTCCCGCCCCAGGTTCTTCTTGCTCTCTATCAATCCATCCCCCTTCAAATAACCTTGTCCTCAAGGTTGTAATTTCGCAGATCGAGGACTGAAATTTCCAACCATGGAATAGACTGGAAAATATCCTTCATCGCCTTCCGGAACCTTTTCCCGGCCAGTTATTTCACAGTACTCATGTTGTTGGAGGTCCAACTCCTCATCCTCCTCAGCTATCATTACCCGCAACTGCTTAAAGGGGCAGTCATGCCCTGGTGTAAATGGTTTCTTACACCTAAAGCATAATCCTTTAGCCCTCAATTCTGCGAACTCCTTTGGCGGAAGTCGAGTGAATTGAGAATGTGTCGTAGGCTGCCCGGATAGTCCTGACTTTGTCCTCGGGGGTTGTCCACTATCCTTCGGGAAGCTGCCACTTGATTCTTGTAGGCTGTCACCACTGGCAATCAACGGAGGGCTCGTGTTTGGCCTTAAAAAGCTACTGGAACGTACACCTGAAGGATTATAATCCTGGCTGTCACTTCCTCCACGCTGGACGGACAGATTGTACTCCACATCACGAGCTAATTCCATGACTGTCTCCAAGCTATTCGGGCGCAGCAACCGCAATGAACCCCGAACCGGTCCCTTTAGTCCATTCATAAAATACCCGAGGTAATGATCGTCAGACAACCCAAGAACCTGACTAGCCAACTGGACAAAGATCGAGGTATACTCCTCCACCGTCCCTGTCTGCTTGACCTCGGACAATCGCTCGAAATGACTGCCCGTAAACCGTGTGTCAAACCTCGCCACCAGTGCCTGCGTAAACTCTTCCCACGTCATGCTAGGTTTCCGCTTCCTTAACCACGTTACCCAATACCCAGTACAAGGCTGCTCCTTCCATGGCGACTACATCCGCTGGTACCTTCCTCTCTGGCGGCGTAAAACTCAATTCAAATTGCTGCTCTGCCCTAGCAAGCCAACCAATGGGATCCGCCCCGTCAAACGAAGGAAGAAGCGCCTCCTGCGTGCCTCACGGACGTCGCCCAGAAGCGGCGAAGCCGTCCAGGTCTTCGAAGTCGCCGCCGCTGCTGAAGGTGGCCGCCGTCTCGATCTGCGATGTCATCGCCGCCGCCAAAGCCCCGGACGCCGTTGTCGCCTTCCCTCCAGTTGCGCCTGCCTTCGTGAGCGCAGCCAGGGCGGCTGCGATCTCACCCAATTGCGCACTCAGCGCATCAAGTTTCTGGTTCATCGAGGCCTGTTCGGCCTCCACCTCCGTCAAATGCTCGGTGTGAGATCTAGTCATTCCGGCGGAAACGGGATACGGCAGGTCGGACCAATTGATGTGTAGCAGAAAAATAAAATCAACGGGGTGAACCGTTGCCCAGATAATCAACGATAAATAAATACCGTTGCCCAGAGCCAAAAGGCTAAACCAACTTTTATTCCAAGATAATCAGAATGAACCCTGGCGAGGGGTATAAATAGCCTTCTACAAGAAACCCTAATCAAGCCCAAATTACTTAAACCCTAATTAAGCCCAATTTAACTTAACTAACCATTATACTAATAATAGGCCCAACTAAAACATAACGATAAATTTTATAAATAAATAAAACTATAATCCCTAGCCCAGAACCGGCCCACGGAAGTGAGCCCAATCCCGTTCCCGCCACAGGTTCTTCTTGCTCTCTATCACGCAGACAGTTTAGTGAGCCATTTTGCTTTATTCCATCATAATCTCAAGCCAAAAAATAATGAATCTTTGGCTCCATATAAGGATCCAAATTCTTTTTGTTGTGAAACTTGTCAGTTTGCTAACACACTTGGACTAGTTATTCTAGATTAACATATAAACCATCAAAACCTTTTTCATTGATTCATAGTGATGTGTGGGGACCTTCAAGCATAAACACTATAAGAGGGAAAAGATGGTTTGTATCTTTTATAGATGATCACACAAGATTAACTTGGGTATTTCTTATGCAAAATAAGTCAGAAGTGAGTGGAATTTTTCAGCGCTTTCATTTTATGATTCAAACTCAGTTTCATACTACTATTCAAGTACTCAAAACTGACAATGCCAAAGAATTTATGAATTCTATTCTTGGTACTTGTTTGATAAAACATGGCATCATCCATTTAAGTTCTTGTGTTGACACCCCTCACCAAAACGGAATTGCTGAACGGAAAAATCGACATCTTCTTGAAGTTGCTCGATCCCTAATGTTTGGGTCTCACGTTCCTAAAGTTTTTTGGAGGGATGCAATTCTCAGTGTTGCCTATCTCATTAATTGGATGCCATTTAAAGTGTTGAAATTTCAAACTCCGTGTCAAACTCTTCTGAAAATATTCCCTCATACAAGGTGCATTAGCTTTGTTGATCCTAAAGTCTTTAGTTGCATCTTTATCCAACTAAAGATGCAACTAAATCTATCAAATGCATCTTTATCCATCTTTAAAGGTAGATCCTAAATCTATCAAATGCTAGATCCTAAGTCTATCAGTATCCACAAAATCGTAGTAAGCTAGATCCTAAATCTATCAAATGCATCTTCATAGGTTATTCATCTAATCAAAAGGGTTACAAGTGTTATTGTCCTACAACACGAAAACCCTATAACTCTATGGATGTCACCTTTTTCGAATCACAAGCTTACTACAAATCCGAGATTCAGGGGGATAATGGAGGTGAATCTCACCTTTTGGGTATTACTGTTTCAAACAGTTCTATGAGCGAAATTTCACGTACTGCACCTATTCTTGAACTCACCAGTCCACAACCGGACAGTCCGAGAACGTCAAAAGGTCATAGAAAACCAAGTCTCCAGTTCATCTCAAGCCACTGAAAACACCTCTGAACCGTTACCAAATGTTCTTTCTCACCCAGAACCTAAAGAACTCCGTGTTTGTCAAAGGAGGCACTCTGAGAAAAACGGACACATCTACAGAACTGCCATGAATTGGAACTGGATTCAGATCCTCCAGAAATACATTCAGGTATGAGTAATTCTTGTCATGATAGTGGTACTGGTATAAATGATGATCTGATTATTGCTTTGAGAAAGGGAGTTCGTGCTTGTACTAAACATCCCATTGGCAATTTTGTGTCCTATAAAACATTATCTCCATCCTACCAAGCACTTGTTTGTAACTCTTGATAGTGTACAGATTCCTCACACAATTCAAGAAGCACTGATTGTTCCGAGTTGGAAAAACGTTGTACAAGATGAAATGAATGCTTTGGTGAAGAATGGGACTTGGCACATAACGGATCTACCATCGGGAAAGAGACCAGTGGGATGTAAATGGGTATTCACCATTAAACATAAGGCGGATGGTAGCATTGAGAGGTTTAAAGCTCACCTTGTTGCTAAGGGATTCACCTAGTCTTACAGGATTGATTATCAAGAGACTTTTGCTCCAGTTGCTAAGCTCATTACCATTCGCGTTCTACTATCCCTTGCTGCAAATAGAGACTGGCAGTTGCACCAACTAGATGTGAAAAACGCTTTCTTGAATGGTGACCTAGAAGAAGAAGTGTACATGGATATTCCACCCGGCTTTGAGAGTTCATCCAATAGAAACAAAGTATGCAGACTGAAGAAATTTCTATATGGCCTTAATCAATCTCCACGAGCATGGTTTGGAAAATTCACTAAATCAATCATTAAAAATGGTTATATTCAGTGTCAGGCATATCACACCTTGTTTGTGAAGCACTCACAAGATCAAAGGATAGCTGTATTGATAGTTTATGTTGATGATATAATACATACAGGTGATTTCAAGGAAGAATTAATAAACTTGTTAAGTTTCTTATCAAGGGAATTTGAGATAAAAGATCTCGGTTATCTTATATATTTTCTTGGCATGGAAATTACACGATCAAGACATGGCATTTTTGTTTCTCAAAGAAAGCATGTTCTAGACTTGCTCAAGGAAACAGGAATGCTCGGGTGTAAACCATCCTCAACTCCAATGGATTCTAACAAAAAGATTGACTCGGAGACGGGCAGAGCACATGTGGACAGGGGGAGATATCAAAGGCTAATGGGACGACTTATATATTTATCTCACACTAGACCTGATATTGGTTTCCTGTAAGTGTCGTAAGCCAATACATGAATCATCCAACTGAGGAACACATGGAAGTTGTGACAAGAATCCTTAGATACCTCAAGATGACTCCAGAAAAAGGTCTTCTTTTTAGGAAGAATGACAATAAAGATATTAGAGTCTACAAGGATGCAGATTGGGCAGGAGATGTAACTGATAGAAGGAGTACTTCAGGTTACTGTTCTTATGTTTGGGGGAATTTAGTAACATGGAGAACTAAGAAACAATCGGTCGTTTCTAGAAGTTCAGCTGAAGCAGAATTCAGAGCTCTAGCTCTTGGCATATGTGAAAAGATGTGTCTGAAAAGATTACTCGGCGAGCTGGGAGTATTTAAAGAAGGGTCTAGACAAATGTTTTGTGACAATCAGGCTGCTACTAGCATTGCCAAAAATCCAGTCCATCACAACAAAACTAAGCATATTGACATAGACAGACGCTTCATTACTGAGAAAATAGAGAACTCCATTATTCAAACCTGTCATGTCCCATCAAAATTTCAAACTGCTGTCATTCTTACAAAAGCTCTACCGAGAACTGTGTTTGAAGAATTAATTAGCAAACTTGGGATGTCTGACATTCACAACCCAGCTTGAGGGGGAGTGTGGATTTATTTCCTGATTTAGAGAATAACTAATGTTCTACTTTAGATCTGATTTTGTATTAATTACCAGTAACATGTACTCCCTCCGTCCAATATTTATCTTCATAGTTACTATTCACATGGTCAACTCAAATTACTCTTAATCCTTTACTTTATATATCAAAATTTTATCAAATTTAAATTTTCTTGATCAGACTTTGTAGCGGATTTAATGTAGTTTCTGAATATGTAAATTTAATTTACTAAAAATAATCTGAGTGTGAATAGGGATCAAGTTGCTTTATCGTCAGTCAAGCATCGTAAACCGAACTACGAAGATAAATATGGGACGGAGGGAGTAATTTATTCTTTCCCGAAATAGGATATTCTATTATTTAGATTAGCAGATTGAATATTTAATGTCTTAGATTCTCTCCTCAATAGGCTGTATAAATATCCTATCATTCTGAGATTATAATATATCACAAATATTCAGATATTTCACAACACTGAACCCCGTATGTTTGCGGAACTTCTGTTAAGATTTTGAGATTTGGCCCCATATGTATATCTACGAGTCTAAGCTACAAATATTTATTTTTTCAAGAATGTCCAAGGCGGTAATTATTTCCTCTGGCAGAGGAGAACACAGTTGTTACATTGTGCAACCTCAATACCAAGTATTTCAGCTTCCCGGGGTCTTCAGTTCGAAATTCACTTGAGGGATTCTTGAGTTGTCCTCTCTCTTTTCTTTCATCGTTTATCTTCTTTATCTTTTTATATTTTTATGTTATTTTTATCTTCTAGCTCTTTATGCTCTTTTATCTTTCTATCATTTATCTTTCTTATATTCTTATGTTATTGTTATCTTATACTCCCTCCATCCCTTCTAACTTTGCCAACTTTCCTTTTTTGGTTGTCCCAAAAACTTTGACACTTTCCCTTTTAATCAATCAATTTGTGGTTCATGTTATTTCTCTCTCCTCTGCACAAATCTCTACCACACAGTTTTTACTTTATTATTCTACGTGCAACGTGCCGGTCAAACTTGGCATTCCTTTTAGGGACGGAGGGAGTATTTATTTATCATTATTTTATCTTTATCTTACTTTTTCCCCCTCCTTGTCCATCTCTCTGTTTGGCATCGATATCATAGATCGATTCATGTTAGCCGACCCCAAATTCTTTTGGGATTAAGGCTTGGATGTTGTTGTTGTTGTTGGATATCTTGAGTTGAGTGCTTGCATGATCATCACTACCTCTAAATTCTAATGACATTGTCATCAACATATACTACTAGATAAATACATTTTTGCCCGTGGAATGTATAGAATATAGAATTATCAACATATTTTTGAAATATGGCCACCAGTAACAGCACTGAAGTGACTGAACCTTCTGAATCATACATTCATACATGAAGAGATTGTTTCAAGCCGTCACTATCATCATCATTATCATTACCCCAGTGCCGCAAAGGCTCCCACCTACGGTGGGGTAAGGGGGGTCGGATGTACGCAGTCTTACCCCTGTACTAAAGCACAAAGAGGGTGGAAGTGTTACAAGCCGTATGAGGGTAATTTCCGACTCACAATCAACATCACTTTGACTAACAATTTGAAGACAAAAGATTCAAAAAGTTTGGGACCAAGCGCAGAAACTTTGACAGACCAAGGATGGACCTAATGGTTATGTAGGGAATTGCAGACAACTAGAACAAGAGGGTGGATGTGTTACAAGCCTTGAGATTGATGCCCAATTCCAATCATCTTCCCCGTACAACGGTCTTGGGCAATCACAGAAACAACAAAGAAGCAGATATGAGCAAGTGTAATTTAATCGAAACAAGGTTAAAGGGGCTATTAGGAACACATAAAATTATTCTAATGGTAATGATGACTTTGAGATAGCACGTCTAGTCCCGGTAACCGGGGTTTGATGACCATTGGCCAGAGTGATTTAAGGTAAGCTTTTGGGTTTGGAAATATTAGATATAAAATAAGGCTTGCAGAAATATGGTCTGAGGCACCAAAGTAAATGATCCATGATGAGCTAGATGGGTTTGAAAGACAAGCTCAAGACAAACCAGATATTGACAGTCTGATTTGACGCCTTCAATTATTTAAATGCCTCACATTTGACAGCAAATACCAAACTGGAGATGGTGGGATCTGAGCAACATTGGTCGAGCTAGGAGCTCTCCCATGTACCTTCCAACAGATCAACACATATCCTCTTCCAAGTCATTCCTGAGTTTCGCTTCTTACACCAATCATCTTCCACAACATTCCTGAGTTTCTGGAAAATCTGCCCATCAGTTCTGGTGTTGATCTGCCGTCCCACGTGCTGCTACTGACGCTCTCATACACCACTGTCAGATGCCACCGACGTTGAGTTTCCAGAACATTTATTTCTGTTTATGACCTCCTCATACCAACATTCCTGAGTTTCTGGCAAATCTGCATTCAGTTCTGGTGCTGATCTCCCGTCCCACGTGCCGCTACTGACCCTCTCATGCACCACTGTCAGATGCCGCTGACATTGAGTTCCCAGAACATTAATTCCTGTTTATGACCTCCTCATACTGATCCGCTGCAGAGTTCTTCTGTTCCATCATGATATTTAGAGCCCAATACAATGAGTTCTGTTTTTCCATCTTTCGCATCAGGGATAACTAGGAAATTTCCATGTAACTTTCCAACACCTACTAGCACCTAAGAGGTCTCCCGTGTATCTTTCCAAAAAAGGGAATAGCTAGGACCCTATACTTTATAGAACCATATTAAGGATGTTTTCATTGGTCTGATATTTTCTGATCTAGTATGGTCTATTTAAGCCGGGTTTGGTCAATTTAAGTTTGGTCTGGTCTAGTCTGAACTAGTATAATGTGATATGGTTTGTTTCATTCTGGTTTGGTCTAGGACTCAAACCAGTCCCATTAAAAACATCATCAACGTTATGACAATAACTTTTAGGATACATTTCAGATATCAAATTTAAGAATACCGGCGCTGAGATGATTCTCAATCGGTGACCACCAATGCAAATTTCCTCAGATCCAGATACTGAAATAAAATCAAGAGACCAATCCCCTGCACCAAGTGCAAATCGCTTTAGGTCTAGTAGGACTTATCATTGACCTGATGAAGAAGATCTCAGTTCCTTTTATCAAACAAATAAGAATATAAGATTGTTAAACCCCAATTCTACATGAATTTCCTAATTCCAACATAACCTGAACAAAAAAACAATCATGTAATCAAGTCTTAAATGCCAGTGAACCACTAGTGCTTCAGTTATTACATGCTTTGATATGTTCGCACAGTAGAATTTGTCTTGCTAACATTATTGTCACATAGAGAAAATATGTTAGTTACAATTTAAAATCAATTTCATATAATAGGCACAGGCCATACTTGTCATGGTGTCGCCTAGGCATCGCCTAGTCACTGACTAGGCATCCTGGTGATGGAGAAAGGTTGACAAGGGAGATCGACTCGCCGGAAAAGATTAGTCGCATCTGGCGTTGTCCAGGCGTGAACATGTCATCCAGGTGCAGTCCTGACATTACTCTGGGCCGCTGGGGGATTTGAAATCTCAATAAATTTGTTTTAGAAGCCTAGCCCAAAAGGACAATCGTCGACTCTCAAACTCGAATGCCAATCGACAACTCCTAAAGGAGAAGCATCGCTAGTCGCTACTTCTCTGCTTCGTGCCTCTGTTGCAAGGTTAAGGACGAGTAGGCGGCCTGTAGTTGCTGCGTGCCTGCGTCTCAAGGTTGAAGACGACGTGCGCTCTTCTCCATGTTTTTATTTGTATCGGTCATTCATCTTATCACTTTAGCTTTTACCAAACTTCTTATTCCATTATATACCAATAATAATATTAATATATTTTATATGGAGTTAATCACTGAGCAGTATACTCACTACAATGTTACACTTTTACATAGTCTAAATTTTAATATAATACATGTATGATTCGTATACCCTATACAGTATGTAGATACACACTATAGTATATATTAATAAATTAGGTATATAATAAGTTAATGAATTAGGTATATTAATTTTGAAATTAATAACTTGTATACTAATAAAGTAGGTATACTAATATATTAATAAAGTATTAGGCAATATACAATTGCATTTGTAATATATTATATATATCATATCATATATATCATTTATATATTGTAATTAATTACAAATCAAATTTAGTTAAATAGAATGTTATATTGTTATATATATTTATATTTATAATTATATAATTATATATAATTATAATTATATATATAATTATAAATAATGTGCGACTAGTCGCCTAGGCGGGCGCCTTGTCGCCTACGCGATATGGCAGTCGGCTAGCGCTGTGACTCGCCTTACCGCTGTGACAAGTATGGCACAAGCAAAAAAGCCATGATAGATAAAGAACAGCTCTTTTTAAGAATAAAAGTATGTAAATATCTACAAGGCATTTCATCATAAAATAAATCGAATGCCTTCTGGTAAAGAAATCTAACCTTTTTTTATCCTGCGCATAGTATTTTCATGTGCTAAAAGAGAAGCATTGGGGTTGCATTCCTGGACTACCGAAAGTCCTAATGGGGCATATAGAAAACAAAAGAATATCAAGTTATGCCATTATGCAGGCAAAGGAATCTCACATCACATCTATCAAAGAAAATGACAATTTTATAAACGCTTGCAAATAAATTATATTCCACTTTCAACTTTCCAGCAAGTTGAAAAACAATAAAAATGTTATCAGCCATTCAGCCAGTTACTTTAAAAGGGCATCCAAAGAATCTAAAAAAGGAAAATTTCTGAGTTACGACTACTGGATGAAATATAACATCTGATAACCATGGAAAAGTATAAAAAACACGCAGACATGAGAAGTTCAAGGTGCTGATTAAAACAAAATTGACAAGAAATATATGCATGTATATACTCTTTAAACTTCCAAATGATCCTTGAGTGGCTTAAGACAACTCATTTCATAAAGGAGGTATTGGTTGAGATTATTAGTGGATATCTCCTTTCGATTGCCTGGCCCATGTGCATTCACGGGCTTGCATGTGCCCCAGGAGAATATTCAAGTTCTAGAGTCTAGGAACTCTGAGTCATTAAAAAAGATAAATCCTAAAAAATCAAAATAGTAACACGCAGCTCTAGCTTTCTTACCATTAACGTGATCATGATGGTGATGGGTTACAAAGACAATCAACTTTCTTGGCAGCACAGAAATAATCTCCCTCAGCTAATCCTCCCAGTGTCAGCATTTAGAGCAATGAAAGACAAATGGCGAAAAAATTAGTGAGAGCAAGTAGGCACCCAGTGTTAACAGAATAAGCCATTAAATGGTACAACATAAATAAGTAATAAGCACAAACGAAAACTATTTATTCCACCTTTCTCTATGTGCCATGAGCCCATGACGGGGTTCAGGTCGACAACTACGATGCAGTGGAAGCTCGACTAAATGACTGACCTATTACGGCTGTGGTCCACTAGGACTGTACCCACAACTTAGTCCAGAAGCGGTTGGATTCTGCTCTTGCTCCTCAGCCCCAACCAGGATATGCCTTACAGGTCACTAATGGGGACAGAGTTCCTGTTCTGGGTGTATGCTCATGGAGTCATAGCATTGTGTAACCAATGCTTAGGCGTCCAATCAGAGCAGGGTTGGCCACCTCGCTTGAAGAGTGAGGGGCAGAAAACAGTGTCGCGCAGACATTGATTAGGCATTCATGGTGACACCTAGAACTGATTTCTTCACTGAATCAATTTTGACCAAGCAACCGAACCCACTTATTCCTAATTTAAATAGACAAATCAAACCTGAAAAAGAAAAACCTAAAGATAAATGCCTATGCATCTTATCGCTGCCTGCAATATTTTCCTTTTCTTACTTCCTCTTCTTCTTTCTTTCTTTCTTCCCTTTCCTTCTTCATTTTTGGCAAAGCATACCATCCATGTGTGTATTTGTGTAATTTATACAATTGCTCACTTTGCATCTCAAGAACGGTCTTGCATCTGAATAACGCACATCGGATGTACCATGTGCATAGTACATGCGGATGTAACTTATTGGAAATGGATATTAAATCCCTTTCTTAATAATAAGGTAGTTAGTAGATCATATATTATATACGGTAAGTTAATTTAAGTACCCCAAACTTTAGCAATGAGTGAACCCAAACTTCTATGAGTTGCCTTTTGCCAGATTTGACTTGATAGTGGTTGTGAGTTAGCTACGCAGGCTCGGCTCAATCCTTTGGGACTTCACCGACAATATGCCACCGTGTCTCTTATTATTTCATCTGATTACCCTCAGGAATGGTCCTCTAGCGCAACCCCTACCTTCCAGTAAGAATTGACGGGCAGTATTCAGATATGTGGGCACAGGGAATCATTCAGCCTAATTGATCCATCAAAGCGGAAATTTGACATGTTCTTTAGAATGCATAGTCATTGATACATCAAATGACTGCAAAGCGGAAGGAATGTGAGCAACCTAATTTCCTTGTTTTTTGAACTTTAATTTTCTACATTCATTGGTAAGTGTCTAGGTTTCCTACTGTAGTTGCATAATGCTCCTTTGCCCAATCAGCCAGCACATGGCCATTTCTCACCTCCTTTAATGGAATGTCGGAACATGCCCTACAAATGCATTATTTGACTGAGATGTTGAAGATGTGGATGAAGTTTCAGTGCAAATCACTCTATTGAATGCGTCTTGAAGAGAAGAGACCATGTCACTAAAAAATACATGTGGTTTGGTTGTTTCAAAATTGAATGCAAGACCTGCCAAAAAGCTCATGAATGACATTTGTTCTCGTTATTTTTCATGCACTTAGATGTCTTGAATAAATGGAATAAGTGTATCAAGTTTTCATATGTTCTCTTGAAATCCATAAACTAAGTCGTAAGAAGCTTATCTTTCAATTACGCTCTATAAAAGGCTTTTCACTCCTCATGGATACGGATAAGATTACCTTTGACGGAATACATAAATTCCAACTAATCAAACAATTCCTTCACATTATCACAATGACTAACATATCCCATGACCTCATTCTCCATTGATTTAAATCTGGATAAATAATCTAGAATCATCACGAAGCCACACATCATTAGCAACTTTACCAATCTCCTCCTTTGGCGGTTCATCAACTAAGTGGGTATATTTATCAATGCTCCTTAATTAGCTTTTGCTAGTTTTATTCCATTCAAAATAATTGGAGCCACAAAGTTTATTCTTAGTAATTTTAAAGTTAAAGGGGATAACTTCAAATACTACCAAAGGCTTATTATTTACTACTGCCAAGGTGTCTATGTCAGAATGTGACCCAAGCATTTTTTTCCTTATTCCTTTTCAGTCGGCAGTGAAGTGAAATCAGGATATTAATGTAAACTTACACCAAAGTTTCTAGTTCATTGACTGCTATAGACTAAAAATTTGGGGCGAGCGTGCCCAGCTTGGTTCACGCTCATCGCACCAGACTACCAGGCGTTACTGAATGTAAAGGCTGCGTAGATACCATTTGAAACGAGACTAACAGGTGTCACCCAACGCACCATACTTGCACAGGTAGAGGACACTCAGACGAGTCTATAGATAGTTACCAATCAAAGCTCCGGTCAGAAATGAAGCTTCACGCACCGGTACGTGAAGCGGTTGCGAGCACTTCCGGCGGTAGGTGCAGCAGATTAGGATGGAGGTGAGATAGGGTAGTGTTGACCAAGACTAAGGTTCTGAATAGAGGTTCCGGTAGATGGTGTGTTGACTGAGGTTCTGAACTGAACTAAGTTTCTGAAATAAAGAACTCTGTGTGAAACTGACTGAAATGTAGCAGAATTGCTCTAATACCATGTTATTAGAATATAAATTAGTGATGAGAAGGGAAAGATTTTATGTGTATTTTATTGGATGATTTAAATTCTTAGAAATATACATTACAAAGATAAAATATTCCTATAAGATTTTATACAATAAAAATATCCTAGAATATATTCCTAAATTATTTCAAAGCATATTCCTACACTCATTATAATATATTTCACAAGAAGTAGTAAAGAACTTGAATCTAATCTTGTACCTCATCATAGAAAGCAGACTTGCAGCCTGGGTCTACTATCAGAGCTTCCCCGCGAGCAGCAATGGTATCATCAGAGCATCCATCGCGATTCCTTTCGGGTACAAGCACAATTAAGTTTGTCGTGTGAAAAGGTTTCGCTGTTCTACTCCCCATTGGCACAAGTTTAAGTCCAGGAAGGTATTCCTCATATATTAGAAGGCACAAAAGTTTAATATGAAGAAACACAGACTAGAGAGAGTAAAACAAATACTGTGGCATCCTGTTATGATAAATATATCATTCACACCACAACTTTGGAAAAAACTCAGTCAAAACTTGTGTACTTGCAAACCTGAAAATTCAATGTTTGAGGGATTTTACAGTTTCCAGATTCTCTTGCGGAATTGAGAAGACCAGCATTAACCAATGGTCCTATACGGTCCTCACTGGGCTTTACGTCTATAAGCATGTTAAGGCACATTTCAATGCTCATCCACTTAGAAATCTCTGAACGAATAAACAGGAAATGCATTATGATATAATATCAACCTGTGTCTGAATTAAGTTATGATGTCGGCCTCAGGACTACTGGGAGAAAATAGCAATGAGTTTGAACCTGTTTAGAGCAATAATAAGACTTGCGCTATGTTAGGAACCCTCTTATATTAGACTAATAATAATAATAAGTGTACTAGAATAGTATAAATAGAATAAGCTGGGAAAGGTCAAGTAGGCTGTTTTAGACTTGTGTCTTGGGACTTGGGAAGACTGAGATTCTATCTCTTTCTTTGGGACTTCGGTCAATTGGGGGCTTCGGCCATAGTTTCTTGTTCTTAATCAATACAGACTGCAGAGTTGTTCATGATCTCTTTATGTGATTTTATTGAATTTCTGGATATCTCTAACATTGGTATCAGAGACCTTCGATCACTGTGGATGGTACCGACGCGCGCAAGGATGGATAGCTTGGAGAAGATTCATCAACAAAATATGGAGATGTTAGCAACGATTCTTGCCAGATTGGATGCGAGAGATCAACATCGTTCGAAGAATACCAGGCTTCTTCAGCGATTTGACAAACATGGTTCGTCGCAGTCGCTCGCTAGTCCGCAATCGGAGTCACGAACTGTTTCTCTTAGTTCGCAGTCCCGAAAGATTTCGCGCGAAAAAATGGTGAAGCTCGCAGAACAGGTTGAGAGCGGAAAAGTGGAGAAGGAGAAGAGCTTAAAACAGGAGAAAGAAAATCGCTCAAACCTGGAGAAAGAGAAACACTCAAGCCTGGAGAAGGAGAAACGTGCGAAGAGCAAACAACATCACCGGCGAGGACGATCGAGGAAGGTACGTCGCTGCGTAAATTCGAAAAGCAAAGGCCCGTCTCAGTCGCACGATACTCATTCCGGACCTCTGGCTTCGACTCGAGTAGAAATCCCTAGTTCGCAGTCGCGAATTGTTTCTCTCTGTTCGCCATTGCTAACCGAGCATCTTCTATTGTTATCACAAGTAGATTCTTACCCTGCGCCAGACTTGTCTCTTCATTCGCAGAGATCATTGCAAGCCATATCTCCCAGGGTGCTAGTGTCAACATGCCAACATGAATCATCCGTTTCAGAATTTACAATCATAGCCGCATTAGGAAAAGGATTAAAAGGAACTATAATTCTGGAAATTCATACTGAATTGAAGCAAGTGGCACCAACAGTTTCAGGGAATAGTGAAGTTGAGATTCTGCAGGTATATGATAGTGATATTCGTGTGGGAAAGTGCACAATGACTTTTGGGTTTGTACAGGAGAGGAACTGGCTTAATGCTTTAAAATTTGTAATGATGGACTGTCATGCATTTAACATTACTTTGGAAGGGCTGAAGTCATTGAACAAGTTTGATGGTTTCAAATGTGAGAGTGTTATTTCTAGGATAGATAAGCAAAATGGATTGGAAGGAAAGTTTTCTGGGAATGTTACAGAAGATGAGGGATATGTGTCTGGTAATGGAGTTGTCATATATCTGATGTTTGTTAAAGATCTCAATCCTGGTCTTGTTCCTGAGGCCATTATAGGAGGTGAAGTGGTTATGGAACTACCAGTAGATTATATACCTGTTCAAGATAGAACTGTAGGTTTTGATTACAGGTATCATATGGCAAATACTGGTCCAAGACACAAAATACTCAGGAAAAGAGATAAGGATTGGACTGGAAGGCTTGTTATTGAGGATAATGAGGCTGAAACAGCAGGGTATAATCAGAAATCGATTGCTGGGATGCAATCTACTATGTTTAAAGCAAGTTTGTGATAGCACAAGGGGTGTAGAGTATTTTAATAAAATGTATGTGAGGAGGGGAATGAAGGGACGGGAGTTTATGTGAGGAGGGGAATGAAGGGACGGGAGTTTATGTGAGGAGGGGAATGAGGGGGCAGGAGTAATTAATGTGCTGGTTTGATTTCTGAATATAAGGAAGGGAGGGGAATAGGGGAGGGCAGGCTGGTATTCAGTTAGAAATGGCTGGGCTTTGGCTAGAGAGAAACTCCTTGTTCCTTCTCTAGAATTGGTTGTTATTCTCTTTATCTTCCCTGTAATCATTCTGGAGTATTGAGAATTCCTCAATCTCCATTGCTAATAATACGGAAACTGTTTGCTGATATTAGTGTCTAACATTGGTATCAAAGCGGTCCGTTCCTGCGGACTGTGAATGAGATTGACGCGTTCAAAAATGGAACATCGAGTTGAGAATCTCGAACAAAGTGTAAACCACATCGAGCAGAAACTGGAACGCAACTGTACAGAGGTGCGCACGATCTCCGACAAGTTGGATGGAGTGATGGCCGAACTGCGCCTTATCGCGACCAACCAGAGTCATCGACGATCCAGAGGGAGGTCGCGTACGACTAAGCGAACGGGTACACGTACTCGGACAAGGGAGTCGCACTCTGGAGGTAATTCTCACAGTGCGTCAGTTTCGTCTCACGAACCAGGTGATACGCGTATCAATCGCGGATTTGAGAGGACGGGAAGGTAGATCTGCCTCTTTTCAACGGAGTTGATGTTCATGGTTGGATTATTAGAGTGGAACGCTTCTTCAAGTTGAACCAGGTGCACGATCAGGCAAAAGTGGAGCTGGTTGTCCTGGCCATGGAGAAAAAAGCCCTGAACTGGTTCCAGTGGTGGGAAAAACAAAATGAGGAGAAATCTTGGGAGGAATTTAAAGGAGCACTAATACGGAGATTTCAACCAGAACTGCTGCAGAATCCTTATGGACCGATGCTAAGCATTAAACAAACTGGATCGGTAATGGAATATAGAGAACGTTTTGAACTGGTGGTAGGTCCAATGAAGCATATTGATGAGGAAATACTCAAAGGAATTTACCTTAATGGCCTAAAGGAAGAGGTGAAGGCTGAACTCAAATTGTACCCAAATGCTACCCTGCCTGAACTGATGGATATCTCGCTGGTGTTAGAAGGGAAGAATGCTGCATTTCGAGGGGAAAAATACAAGGAGGGGGACCAGAGGAGTGGAAAGGAGAAGGGAGAGGCACTGAAGAAACCACAACAGTGGATAGATGGCAGCAAATGGAGATCCCAAACCAATATTCAAGCGTCTCAGGAAAAATCGGGAGTTGAGCCTAAGGTGGGAGTTAAACCGGATCTCAATAATAACTGGAAGGGTGGCCAGAGGCTAACACAAGCAGAATTACAAGACAGAAGCAAGAAGGGGCTATGTTTCAAATGCGGGGAAAGATGGGGCAAGGATCATGTGTGCAAAATGAAATACTACCAGTTTATTCTCACAGAGGGGCCTGAGGAAGAAGCAGATACTATGGATTCAGAAGTGAATTTGAAAGAGACAGATATCTCCCTAGAACCGCAACAAATGCAACTGTCAGCCATGAGCAAACAAGGGATCACTGCACAGAAGACTTTCAAGTTGGAAGGGAAATTGATGGAAAAGGGGTTACACAGATCTGTGTTGATCCTGATTGACAGTGGAGCCACCCATAATTTCATATCACAAGCCATAGTGGAGGAATTACAATTGCTATACATCCAAATTGATGGATTTCAGGTGGAATTGGGTAATGGGGACAGAGTGAGCAACAATAGGATAAAATATGAACCAAGTGAACAATTGACTAACACATTGATACAAGTGCAACTCTTTCTGCCATTCGACTTATACATACATCAATGAACAATCATATTGCTTGCAAACATCACCATGTGGTTTAGAAAAGCTCCTTCACACGTTTTACATCTTTTTTAAGATACAGCACTCGAACTTCATGATATGACATTCCAAGAAGAGAGAGTTGGTGAAGTTTGTTAAGACGCGACTTGTCAGGGCTTTCTTGATATTCTTGAAGGAGCACAAGAACAAATTAATCAAATTTTTCAACTGTGAAGAGTTCCTTACAAGCAATCATTCCAAGGAAGAGACGGCAAAGGAGTGGTAGAATTGTGCAGATGTCATCTTTTTGTAATACACTTCAAGAGACATTTAAAGTTAGAGGACCACTTATGCCAACACTTCGAATGGTTTATGGGGATGTGAAGCCGGTTGTATGATATGTTTATCCTGCAATGGGGTTAACAAAAGTAGCTATAGACAAAGCCTGCAAAAATAATCAAACCAAGTACAAGAGAGTGTGATATCATTGACACGGGATGGACATCTCAACTCCGTCAACCATTGCACGCGAGTATTGTCTTCTTAAATCCAAATATCTTTTGATTTCCAAGTGAGACACAAGTATCTTCTAGCATTAATTTGGTTGTAGTGGTGACTGGTTTTATGATGGTTTGGAGAGATTAGTTTTGAATAAAGAACAAGGAAAAATTGCAAGTGAGGTGTCAACTTGGGAGCTTAGGCACGAATTATTTAGCAGTTCATTTGCGAATAAACAATGAGTTGTTAAGCCTCAGGTCAATATCTATTGATCGGTCTATATTATTTAAAAGTAATTATTATCATGGTGTTAACAATTTAAATTTATTTTATAGTTGACTAGTGGACATCTTTCCGCACTAGTGCTCCCCAATTAAAGGGATTTGCAATCAAGCTTCTTAGTTTAACCATAAATGCATCAGGATGTGAGAAGAATTGGAGTGTATTTGAACATGTCAGAATAGTTATTCTAGTGACTTGTGTAGGTCAGTTGCAATTTTACTTTGTGCATTCATGCACTTACCTAACCAAAATATTAAACTACTTGACAGTTGCACTCCAAGAAGGGAAGTCATCTAGATTACAATCGCCTTAATGATTTGATTTTTGTTTAAGTACAAAACGGTTTTGAGATGTCATTAGGAAATGTGTGATTCTATTGATCCTATTTGCTTGGAATACATATACATAGCATATATATGGTTGACCAGTAAACTTGACGGTGAAAATGAAGAGTTGGTCTTTGATGATGGAGATAATTTGACAGGGAAGACATTGCAAACTTTTCTAGTATACATGATACATCACATAAAGAAAAAGCCTCCATCCATATACTTGTTGATGAAGATGAGGATGGAGAAGATGTTGGAGTCTATGATGATGATAATGAAAATTTTAATGTTTTGGATATGAATGAAGAAGAAGGCCACTTTGGCGTGGACGATGACATGATGGAGTGACGACGATTCGTAGAGTCGTTTTTAATGAAATTATGGCATTGGGTGATGAATGCCTTCTACTTTATGCCGCACTAGTATTACTCTTATGACTTTTATGACTACTTATGCATTTTTGGCTTAATTATGCATTATATATTTCATTCTTATATTTTATTATAAACATTGTTTTTTTGTGAGAAACTCTTTCTAGAACTTGCCAAGCGCTAGTCGAGTAGTTGAGGGGCACCTAGTGCCTAGGCGCTGATTAATCAGACCGGCTAGGGCTGTTTTTAGAACAGCGGTGAGAAAGCTAGCTTTGCTTAGCACTTCCGCTCTTAAGCGAAGCCCCACCTCATCGCTTTTGTGCGCTTTTTTTCTTTAATTATGCCTTATGTATTTTATTCCTATATTTTAAAAGAAAAAATTCAAATATGAAGGGAATACTACTTTCATCCATTATGAACTCAATCCATCTCATTCGACCGAGTGAATCAGATGGCACTGGTGCATGTAAAAGTTGATGGGTGGGGTCAGGTGACAAGTGGTAAAATGCGAGTTGGCGGATGGATGTGAGTGGAACTCCATATAATCTAAACCTAACCCATTGTCATATGTGGTCGGTTAAGTGACCAACAATGGTGATTGTCATGGGCAGTCGCAACATAGCTAATGTCTGCAGGGTTTTACAGTTGTGATAGTGATATTGAATGGTGTTGAAGATCAGTGACACTCACGAGTAAAATGGCAGTGGTTCGATAGTGGATTAGTGGTGATGAGTAGGCAATGTTGGTCATGCTCACTGGAGTGGAAGGTGTAACCGTGACATGGGCCAAAGGGGGTAGTATGGTAAGAGTTGTTTGTGGTGGCTGTGTTCACCATAGATGTATGACACTCTCATGGTATCATGGTCGAAGTGGTTGACATTGTTTAGGCTAATGGAGGTGCTGATCATAGCGGCCATTGGTTGTTAGTTTAGGCTTTTAGCTTGTAACTTTGTCAGTTATCCATTTTAGAAAACCTAAAAAAAGTATTTTTCCAAATTTGCGAGAAATATAACTACTAAGGACTACTTATGTTTTCTAAATCTAGAAATCTGGTCAATTATACATTTATTCCCTTGTCACATTTTTTGTTTTCAGTATGTTCTCTCATCTAAAATGATATTTTCCAGAAATTATATCACCCAAACTATACTTCAGATATAAAAGTGAAAATATATTCTGAAACAATCAACCAAATTCTTACATTAATGGTCCGTTTTGATTGACTCTGCTGGGAGACCTATTGGATGTTATCAATCCAAGTTAGATGAGGTGAACTCCGAATCTCGGATTAACTCTATTTTCATTTCCGTTACTCCTAAAAATCAGGGATAATCAGGTAGAAAGTCATATTTCATACTTTAAAATTTAATTCACCTCAAACCAGACAAGATGAAAATTGATTCACCTGGTAGGTTTAACATTATTCAAACAACATCTTAAGATACTCACTGTGGTGAATACATTTTTAACTTTAAGGCCTTAGCAAACAATAAATCAAGTACTTAGGATGGAGTTTTGGTAGAGCTTTGAGTTATGATGTGGCCAATTGCGAAGTACTTGGAAAATAAAAGCTCATCCATAAGGGGTTCAGAATTGTTCATCCTTCTGAAGGAAAAATAATCCATTCCCTCCTAATTCCAAAAATCAATTCCACCAACCCATGTTTTATCGCAGTGATTTTTTATTTTTAGCAAGTGTTAGACTTAGAGTAGAACAAAGCATCATATATACGGAGTGAAATATATACTTTTTTCATGAAAAAAATGATCATATACCAAGCACCAGGATGATCAAGTCTGGTGAAATTACATGATCGTATATAAGAATAGTCAAATGCATACCCTTCTAACTAGTTTGAACAAAAGCATATGTGTTTTTTATATTTGATTTAATTATATACTAGTGAGTAGTGACTAATTTGGGAGGGGGCTATTTTTCTCATTATAAAAGCTATCAATTCCATAGCTTATCAAACATTGTATTTACTATTTTAGTATTCTCACTACCTTGTACGTACTATTTCAAAATACTCCTTATGTACTACATATTCTTGCAGCTTTTATTCACACCAACCAAATCCAAAAAATTGAATTCCTGCTTAATTCTTTTCCAATTTAAGTACCGTACCTACATAAGGACATTTTATACTTTTTATACAAGTAATGCAGTTGTTTTTAATATTCACATATTAAGGAGAAGAAGAAAATGTGAAAGAGAAAATGTACTCGTATGAAATTGAGGACAAGTCGCCATATTTTTATCTTAGCAAAACTGTGTATTGGGTCATTTAATTACCTGAATAAGAGCTGAACTGAGGTCGACTTTAGTGGACCCGAAATCTCCCAACTCACATTCGTCGACATGGACGACGGCTTTAGAAGCCGGCGGCGATGTCAGCGGACGAAGCTTAGCGGACGGCAAGTCCCAGAGGTCGGAGTCGATGAAGGAGTCGTACTCTGAATCATTGAATTTGGGGGGTGGGGTCTGTTTCACCAGAAGAAATTCTGCGGGGTTCAAAGGGTTTTTTATTATCACAGCTACAGTGTGAGTAGCCATCTAAAATCAAAGATAGCAAACGTGGTGTTTGGTGATTTCGAGGGTTATACTTGCAGTTGCAGGAAGACCTGTGAGAGGCAAGGCCGGGTACAGGTTATAATGGTATCAAATTAATTACGGCCTCGTCCCAAAAAAGTTGGTATTTTGACTTTCACATTAATTAAAATTGTGGTTGAAATTTGTGCACAGCAGATATAATTAATTTTAACCTCATATTCCTTACTTTAAATAGAAATGGCAAATTTTTTTTGTACATCCAAAAAAAGGAAATTTGGTCAACTTTTTCGGGATGGAGAGAGTATCTTATTTCCCTTTTTTAAAATAAATACTCTTCCCTCTCATTTAAGTCCATTTACTTCTTTTTGGAACGTCTCATTTACTTCTTTTTGTAACACCGCCCCCAAGTATTTGTACTTTATCAAATTATGTATTGAACCCTGAGAAATGTATAAAAGCATTTTTACGTAATTGTAAATTTTTATCATTTCTTTTACGTGAATAGTAAAATTCACGTGGGGCTCACACTGGAAGTGGGGCTGCCCGATATTATCGGGACCACATATTATATTAATCTTGGACTAGATAATATGTATATGGTGGTGGATATCCTAATTGGGTCATTGCAATGGCACAGGGTTGACCGGTTGGTCAAACGGGGCCAAATTATCAGTATCGGCAATTTATCAGATAACAACCCAAAAAGGGATTTCGGAGACTTCTAAATTAAAATTGTAGAATGCATATTGATTCTAAGGTCCAATAAGGATTGGGAAAAAGTGTTATATTTTATTTGACCCGATAAAATAAAATATAGTTAAAGCAGTCCGGAAAATACAAATTTCGAGGCCGTTTGTACACTTGGGGACATAGAGGGATGACCTCCCACATGAGTAGGGGCCACCCCACGAATTTGGTGCTGCAAATGTCAAGGGGAGCCGCACATGACCTGGAGAAGCAAGGAGGAATTGATTGGAAGACCAATCAATAGGAAGGTGGACCTCACCTTTGACATTATTTTGGAGAAATGCCAAAATGGCATTCTCAATCATCAACCTAACCCTCCAGCTCGTCCAACCCATCCATCTTTGAGATAGAAGCTCTGCAAACACTTCACAACATCCACCAATCACGAACTAGAGCTAAGGAGGAAGAAGGAGGGGAAAAGAGAAGAGAAAAGTTGACTTTGGAGAAGAAAACTTGTGTTTAACAAGGTAATGACTTCATTGATCTCATTTCTTGTTCTTCATTCCTCTTATATGATTATTCAATCATATTTCACACCCTAGTATTGTTCTACATGTTTGGAAGTGTAGAATGAGGGGTTGGAAGGTAGTTCTAAGTCCAAGAACGGACTTAGAAGCCAAAGTGACTGGTTCGCCGGAAAATAACCTTTTTGAGGTTATTTGTATTACTATGTGTTTTATGATGATAAAACCTTGTTAGTAACTTGTATAAGGTATTTAAGGAACTTTCACGGAGTTGAAAGGGTTGCCGGAGTTGTCGCCGGAGTTCGTTGAAGTTCGTCGGAGTTTCGCCGGAGCTAAATCGGGAAGGCTAGAACGTCATAAGCTTCATTAAGGTGAGAAGACGGCTTTATGCTTTATAACTTTTGCGCGAGACATGATATTACCTAAAGTAATCAAGGATATGTTTTGTGAAATGATTAAAGATAACCAAGTGTTTGCTTATGCCATGATTATACATAAAACATAGTTGAAAAGCATGTTATGTAGGTTTGGTGGTTAAAAGTGTGATAACTTATTATGTGTGATGTTCCAGGGATCCAAAATGGTATTTTTGGATCAAGGACGTCAAGGAGTATATGTGTATAAAATTTCACGTTAATCGGACTCCGTTTGGGTGGTCAAACGGGCGTTGACCAACAAGTCAACTGTCATACCCGACCGGGTATTGACACATACCCGACCGGGTATTTGTTGAAAAATTGCTCCAGGAGGCTACTGCCTCCTATACCCGATCGAGTATGGGTAGATACTCGATCGAGTATACATTGAAAATTAGCTTTGTGGACTACTGTCTCCTGTACTCGACCGAGTATGGGTTGATACTCGATCAAGTATTGGGTTATGCTCAAAACGGGCAGTTTTGAGCGGGTTAATGTGGGTCGTTCAGGTGGGACCCGCCCACGTTGGTTCCTAAGGATGGTTTATATGACTATAGGGATAGGTATTGTCCATAGTTAAAGGAACGAAAGGATAGCCATATCCAGGTTAGGGTTTGGTAAGGATTTAGTTTGGGGTTGAGTATCCCCGGGACATTAAATGATCCTGAAACTCGGTTGGGGTTGAGCATCCCCGGGACTATAAATGATCCTGAAACTCAGTTGGGGTTGAGCATCCCCGGGACTGTAAATGTAACACCGTCCCCAAATGTATTTACTTTTAAGCGAATAATTTATTGAACGTTATGAAGTTTTTAATTAATTTACGAAGTTGTGAATTTGTATTATATTTTTCGCGTGAATAGTAAAATGCACGTGGGGCCCACATCGGGAGTGGGGACCGCCCGATATTGTCGGGGCCACATATTATATTGATCTTGGACTAGATAATATGTATATGGTGGTGGATATCCTAGTTGAGCCATGACAATGGCATAGGGTTGACCGGTTGGTCAAACGGGGCCGAATTATCGGTATCGGCAATCTATCAGATAACAGCCCGAAAAGGGATTTCGGAGACTTCTAAATTAAAGTTGAGGGATGCATATTGATTCTAAGGTCCATTAAGAATTGGGAACAAGTGTTATATTTTATTTGACCCGATAAAATAAAATATACTTAAAACAGTCCGGAAAAATACAACTTTCGGGACCGATTGTACACTTCTGGACAAAAAGGGTTGACCTCCCACATGGGTGGGGGCCAACCCACGATTTTAGCCTCATCATTCAGGGCCTTAGCAGGCTGGTAAGAGATATGAGGTGGGAGAGGACTGATTTGAGATGTTTGGCATCAAAACAAATCATGGTGGCCCTCCTCCCTTTCACTCATTGCCCAAAAAGGAGACAAAGAGGCATTCCTACCCATCCCCCTCCTCACTAGTTCGGCCAGCAGCAAGGGAAAGGAGGAAAGAACCTCTACAACTTCATCTCCATAGCCCCAAATCCGAACTCAAGCTCAAGGGAGTCCAAGAAGAAGGTTTAAGAAGGAAAAAGTTAGGAAAAAGTGTGAAAATTAAGGTAATGACCTTATCATAACTTTTCCTTTGTTTTTCTTCTAGCATATAAGATATATATCATATGAAAGACCTTTAGTATTGTTCTACATGATTTAAGTGTGGAATAATGGGTTGGAATGTGATGCTAAGTCCAAAAACGGACTTAGAAGCCAAATCGACCGGTTTGCCGGAAAATAATCTTTTATAGGTTATTTATGTTGATATGGGTTTTGTGATGATAAAACCTTGTTAGGAACTTGATTTAAAGTATTTTTGAGCTTCTCCGGAGTTTCGTCGGAATTGGTCAAAGTTCGCCGGAGTTGGTCAAAGTCGCCGGAGTTGGTCAAAGTGCAATCAAGAAACGTAGAACGCGCTTAAGCTTAATTAAGGTGAGGATGACCGACTATGATACTTATAATCTTTGGGTTAATTTCATGGGATTTCCTAAGTGAATATAAGTGTGATGTGCATGAATTGTTGATGGTTAATAATGCATAAATAGAACTACTATTGATTAAAAGTATAGTATGCATGATACACAAATTTATGAATAAATTGTGTATGTTTAGATGTTATGAATATGTGTGTATGATGGTTGTACCAACCATGAATATCATTTGGGATAGTATACTTTGATGCCACGAGGAGAAGCCATGAAGGTATGAAAGTGATACTTGATATTAAGGCCAATTATGCAATAAGAAGGAATTATATTGAAATAAATAAATAACTAGCATTGAAATATTAGTTGGAAATGTTAGTTGAGAAATGGATGAATTAGATCCTAAGAATTTGAATTATAAGGAATCGGTGATTATGAGTCGGGCTCAAGACCGATGTAGATGACGGTGATTATGAGCTGGGCTCTAGACCGTAGTAGATGACAGTGATTATGAGTTGGGCTCTAGACCGTAGTAGATGACGGTGATTATGAGCTGGGCTCTAGACCGTAGTAGATGACGGTGATTATGAGCTGGGCTCTAGACCGTAGTAGATGACGGTGATTATGAGCTGGGCTCTAGACCGTAGTAGATGACGGTGATTATGAGCTGGGCTCTAGACCGTAGTAGATAACGGTGATTATGAGCTGGGCTCTAGACCGTGATAAAAAATGATGAATTGATATTAAATGAATGGATTAACTATAATGTAATAATGCTCTAGTTTGAGGGCCTCGGAGATTTAAACTTTGATTATACTTAGTATAGTTGTCATTGTACTTGTCAAATGCTTCCAAGTACTGACCTCCCCTTCACGGGGGAGGCCACCTCACAGTTTCAGGTAGAACTTGAAGGTTGCTACCACCCGCCGCTGCTTCGGGAAGTTTCTGAGGAGAAGACTTGGTTCGTGCTTCTCCCGTTCTTGTTTTGAAAAACAATATGATTAATGCTCATGGATAATATTTTTTTTTTTGAATAAGTACTATGGGGGCTTGCATGCCTAATTATGCCAAGTGTGGCTTGAACACTTGTATCAATTGTTTCCGCTGCTTTAATAAATGTTTTACATTATGTTTGTTTATGGATGTACTATGTGTGAATGGTATTCAAGACGCCTTGTATAGTATGGATGAGTCGGACTGCGGTTGACTATTCGTACTGTACGGCGGGTTGTTGACGTGTCCGGGTAGGTCCGGGGCATGACAATTTAAATGGTATCAGAGCCTTAGTACGTAAACATCATAATGAAGCTTCAAAATTTCTTTTTGAAAATGAATTTGAAAAACCATGAGCATAAGTTTTGTACTTATAGAACTTTTGGTACTTGAGTTGCAATGCCTCTAATTGTTAAGATGGTACCCTTAACAATTGGTATGGCGGTGATTTGAGCCGAAGGATGTCTTTAAGTACCCGTCCGTCATTTGACATTCGATACGAGTCTAACGACTCAATCCT